GGAATGAGGGAAGGTATTTGTTCTTTGGCAGACCAGGAATACCAGCTTATGTAATCCAGTCACTTCTTTCACACAGGGCAGTATGCATCAGCTGTGTTCTTGGAAGTACTCTTAAAGTTCTCAAGAAAGCCGTCAGCTCATTGGGACAGCAATCAAAGTTTTGCTTTAGATGTACAGTGTGCCTGAAACAATGGGAGTTGGACCACCAGGGTGGCTCCTAGGACCCAATGAACTATTTCCCTCTCATATTACAAGGAGAGAAAGATACCTTTGTGAGTGAAGAAAAACCAAAACCCAAAAAAAAACATTCAAAAAAAGTAGTAGTTTTAGAAAAATTATAACAAAGATAGTATTAAGTATTAATATAGTATTTTTTATAAATAAGTTAAGACCACTGAAAAGGACAAATCTTTACACTGAAATCTAGAAAGACTGCAGTGTAAGTTGGGGTCAAACTTAGCAATGCTTTAAGAACAGGCAATAAGGATTTTTAGCCTACTCAAGGTGGCTGTCAATGCAAAATAGTAATTACAACCATAGGCAAATCTCAAAGTAAAAAACTTCTTCTATCAATACAACACATTTGAGGATTCCTCGAAATTCAGGAAGCCTGCAATTCTAAGTAGAAATAACCAGCTCAAAGACTATTAGCAACATAGAGCAAGAGATGTTTTCCTTTGTTGAAGGCATTTGTTCTGAAGGAAAGCATTAGCTACAAGGCAATTAAACCATTACTATTTACTGATACTAAAATGTTTATTTTAATACATATTTATTAATTAAAATTCTTAAATAGTAAGTAAGAATAGCTAATATACAACTGCACATTACTGAGAGGGATTATAACATGAATTTCAGCCTCCAGCGCACACTAAAGCGGTAGTTCGTGTGTAGCTCCCAGCAGTCACTGCTAGGAATGGCAGTATCTGGCAAGAGAGAGCCCTGATCTGGACGCATGGGTATGCTTGGCATAGTACAAAAGGAACAAGATAAATGTCAAACCAAGAAGGTAATTTCCAGCAAATAATACATTTAACAAGTCTGTATTTAAAAGAACTATATTTAACTCAGAACTTATTCACAGCTGAGGGAGAAGCCAACAACTTCAGCCACTTTGCCTTCTTATTCCTGTTTGCTTCTGCCTCTGAAGAGTGCAAAACCATTCTCAGAGATTTGTCCTCTTCTGTGGTAGTCCAATCAAGCCTTTCCCAACCTACAGCATACCCAAGCCCTTCTCACCCTAGCAGAAGGAATAAACATAGAGAAACTGACATAGGATTCTTTAGACATATCTTTGATCTCTAAATTTCTTTCTAGGCTGTTTTTTTTTTGTTTGTGCACAGGTGTTTTTTGGTTTTTTGTTTTTTTTTTCTTTTGTTTGGATTTTTTTTTGTTGTTTTTTTTCAAGAAAATAATTTGGCTTGAACAATGATATTATAGTCATAGTTACAAATCCCTTAATTTCCGCTAGCAAAAATCTTGGAAGGGCTGAATCAACGCCTGAATCAGTCTTGGACTTACTGGAATGGGCTTCTGATCACCTATGTTATGTCTTTTAAATTTATGGGACATGGTTATTGAACATAACACAAGACAAACCACATAGAAACACAGAAAGTTATTTGAAGAGCTTCTCACACAAAGATTTTGCAAAAGTCCTTTTCTGAAAATCTACAAATTTCTTGAAGTGTTTTTAGATAAAAGTATCTGATTTAGCTTCCAAAAACCTAAACCACTATAGAACTGTCCTCATATTGGTGATGGCAAGAAAAACACACCAAGCAACATTGACAAAATAAGAGAATAGACACAATATCACATTCAAATTCACAAGAACAGTCAAAGGTATTAAGGTATTTGTTCTTTGGCAGACCAGGAATACCAGCTTATGTAATCCAGTCACTTCTTTCACACAGGGCAGTATGCATCAGCTGTGTTCTTGGAAGTACTCTTAAAGTTCTCAAGAAAGCCGTCAGCTCATTGGGACAGCAATCAAAGTTTTGCTTTAGATGTACAGTGTGCCTGAAACAATGGGAGTTGGACCACCAGGGTGGCTCCTAGGACCCAATGAACTATTTCCCTCTCATATTACAAGGAGAGAAAGATACCTTTGTGAGTGAAGAAAAACCAAAACCCAAAAAAAAACATTCAAAAAAAGTAGTAGTTTTAGAAAAATTATAACAAAGATAGTATTAAGTATTAATATAGTATTTTTTATAAATAAGTTAAGACCACTGAAAAGGACAAATCTTTACACTGAAATCTAGAAAGACTGCAGTGTAAGTTGGGGTCAAACTTAGCAATGCTTTAAGAACAGGCAATAAGGATTTTTAGCCTACTCAAGGTGGCTGTCAATGCAAAATAGTAATTACAACCATAGGCAAATCTCAAAGTAAAAAACTTCTTCTATCAATACAACACATTTGAGGATTCCTCGAAATTCAGGAAGCCTGCAATTCTAAGTAGAAATAACCAGCTCAAAGACTATTAGCAACATAGAGCAAGAGATGTTTTCCTTTGTTGAAGGCATTTGTTCTGAAGGAAAGCATTAGCTACAAGGCAATTAAACCATTACTATTTACTGATACTAAAATGTTTATTTTAATACATATTTATTAATTAAAATTCTTAAATAGTAAGTAAGAATAGCTAATATACAACTGCACATTACTGAGAGGGATTATAACATGAATTTCAGCC